TTACTGTGTATCCTTCTGAACTTTTTTGTTTTCTGGCTCCTTTTTTCTTTTCCTTCCATTCTATTAACTTAAAGCCTTTTTTTGCTTTCTGCTCTTTTCATGCTCAGCCTCAAGCAGCCTCTTCACTATTATACTTTGCTGCTTAGTCTGGGAAATGACACAAGCATATCTGTTAGAATTATGTGTAAATTTAGACAAAATTTATGAGTGAAGGTCTCATATCTCTTCGATTAAAGAGCATGAACTTCGCTGGTTATCTTTTCTGTTTCACATTTCAACTGCTAGTAGGCCTATTAAACCTGCCTCCTGGTACTAACTGGGTCAGACAGTTGGAAAAATAACCTTCAAATAAGTGAGGTGTTACTATCTTTACTTTTCTTAAGCCAAGAGTGAACTACGTTTAAGGAACATTTTTATATTAACTTTTCATGTGTTTATACAACTAATTATGAAAGGAAAATTCTGTAAAATAGGAGAACAGCAATTAGAGATTTTTTTTAGTGTATCCCTTCACTCAGTAAATATTTACTGAGTGCCTGTCACGTGCCAGGCACCGTATAGGTATTAGAAATATAAAGATGAAAAACCAAAGCTCTTCATCCTCTTTTTTTTAAGCTTTCACAAGCACTATTTAAGAAGCACCTGACAGTGTATTTTATTGTCCTCTTTGCCTGGATCCTCCCTTCAAAATTTGCATTTGAGTATTTTGCCTCTCAGAGAAGTGTGGCAGTAAACTCAGCTCTCTATTGATATCACACTGGCACTCGAGCCTCTGAGTATTCCTCTGTGTATTTTCTTGCCACCACAAGTGTAGTTACGTCCCAGCAGCTGTGGCAGCATTTAGTTCAAGAGCAAGAGGCAAGTCCTCTGGCTGCCCAAGTAGGTGGCTATCCAGGGCATTTGGACTCCCTTCAGGTCCTTTTGGTAAAATTAAGTCCAGAGACCTGGCAATACAATCCACACCATTATCTAAAGCTCACCCTTTCCTTTTTTCTTTCTTTCTTTCTTCTTTTTATTTTTCTAACTATGAAAATTGCTGAAATGCCAGGAGTTTGGTTAGGAGTGAATAGGGAAGTTTGGAATGTTTTTAATCCTGTGCTCAGTGTTGTTGGTAATATTAGAAGAGCAGCAGAGCCATGAATCCAGTCATACTCTTGGCTAAAGCATCCTACTCTGACTTAAGCATTCTTCACATGAAAAGAGACCCAGGGCTTTAGTTGACAGTAAATGCAACCTGAGCTAGTGATGTGACCTGGCTGCCAAAACAAGCAAATGTGATCTGAACCAGCATTAATAGAAGGCTAGTGGCTGGGACAAGTAAGGTAATAGTCCCAGAGTACACTCTGCAGTGGTCAGATCACACCTGGAGGATGGTGTTTCCTCCTGGGCACCATGTTTTAAGAGTGATGTTGACAAGTTGGAGTATGCCCAAGTTGGGCAACAGGATGATGAATGGCCTGGAAACTACATCCTTTGAGGAACAGTTGGAGGAACTGGGGTAGTTTACCCTGGAAACTAGAAGGCATGAGGATGTAGGATAACTATTTTCAAATATTCGCAGGGCTATCGTGTAGAAGAGTTGGACTCCTCTGTGTAACCTCAGCAAGCAAAACTTAGACCAATAGGTGTACATTACAAAGTGGCTGATCTTGTCTCCATAAAAGGAATAATTTTCTAGTCCTTATGAACATCCAGAAAATAGCAGCTTTGTAAGGTAGTGACTTTACCTTAATAAGGGGTGTTAGAATGGAGGCTGGCTGACCAAACATCAGAAGACTCATGAGGGGCCGGCCCCGTGGCTTAGTGGTTAAGTGCACGCGCTCCCCTACTGGCAGCCCAGGTTCGGATTCCAGGCGCGCATCGACGCGCCGCTTGTCCGGCCGTGCTGAGGCGGCTCCCACCTACAGCAACTAAGAAGGATGTGCAGCTATGACATACAACTATCTACTGGGGCTTTCGGGAGAAAAATGGAAAAAAAAAAAAGGAGGAGGATTGGCAACGGATGTTAGCTCAGGGCCGGTCCCCCTCAGCAAAAAGAGGAGGATTGGCATGGATGTTAGCTCAGGGCTGATCTTCCTCACAAAAAAAAAAAAAAAGAAAAAAAAGAAGATTCATGAATAAGATGAGAGGTTTGGAGAGACAACCTGATCCAAGATCTTTTCAGATTCAAAGGTAATAAATGACAGAACCTTGAGAAGGAAGTTAGCATTAGTACTTTTCCTCTCCGATTCCATACAAGTATTAACCACAGAAACTATGCTAAAATTGATGCTAAGGCCAAATATCAAAGTTATGAGGGTGGAAGGAAAAAAAGCCACAGGAACTTTCTGTTTTCCCTGGTGGTTGTGGATTTTGTGTATAAAGGTTCGAGTAGTACTGTTCGTTAGGTTTTTCCAAAGCAGACTGGATTTTTCATTTTCACTTTTTTTGTGTGTGTGAGGAAGATTAGCCCTGAGCTTACATCTGTTGCCAATCCTCCTCTTTTTGCAGAGAAAGACCAGCCCTGGGCTAAAATCTGTGCCCGTCTCCCTCTCCATTATATGGGACAACAACACAGCATGGCTTGATAAGCTATGCATCGGGCTGCACCTGGAATCTGAACCCGCGAACTCCACCCTGCCAAAGTGGAGTGCGCAAATTACTGCTATGCCACTGGGCTGGCCCCTCTTTTTCACTTCTAAGATTCTTTAGAGCCCTGGTGTGCTTTCTTTCTCATCAAACTTATGGTCCTCTTATGTTGTTTTCAGGATACTACATTTTGACAGGATTACTCTTAATCCAAAATTATAAAGCAGCATTTCAGGGAATGGCAGTCTGTGTCCACATGTCAAAGAAGCAGCCCTGTGGAATAACGGGTTTTTAAAGTTCATTGAGGGGCCCACCAGTGGCGTAGCAGTTAAGTGCACGCACTCCGCTTCAGCGCCCGGGGTTCGCAGGCCCAGATCCCACCTACGCACTGCTTGTCAAGCCATGCTGTGGCCGTGTCCTATATAAAGTAGAGGAACATGAGCACAGATGTTAGCCCAGGGCCAATCTTCCTCAGCAAAAGAAAAAAAAAGAGAACTGGCATCAGATGTTAGCTCAGGGCTAATCTTCCTCACAACAAAAAATAAATAAAGTTCATTGATTATTAATAATGAGGTAGCATCCAGTAAAATGTGTGCATTGGGATAGCTTGGCTCTTTCCAACAGTCTTTGAGGTAAGCAGCCTGGGAATGATCATTACTATTTTACCAATGCAGAAACTGAGTCTTAGAGCAGCTTGCCTAGAATCCGAACCCTCTGACTCCTAGCCCAGTGTTCAAATACTGTTTTTAATACTAAAAGCTACTGTTCTTTGCTAATAGGTTTAGAGACTTATTTAAATGCAAAACATAGTTTTTCTCTCTCAACTACAGTGGTTCCCTGGAGTAGGTGGGCAGATTTGCTTTGGCCAAAGATTTGGCCTTTAACTTTAATGCTGTCCCTAGTTCATCTTATGTCCTAAAGAAAGTCTCTAGCAAACATCACTACCGATACTTGATCCTTTCCTTGAAAATAGGGATGCTAACACTTGCTCCAAATAAAAATCCTAAGGATGTGGACAGGACAATGTTTGTCAAATGGGGTAGATTTGACCCGGCAGTCCTGCAAAATGCTTAAGAGCTCAGGCTGAGTCAGAGAGATCTGGGTTTAAATCTTTGTTCTGCCAGGTACTGGCTGTGACATCATCATCTCATGGAGACTCAGGGTCCTTATCTGTAATATGGGAATAATAATAGGACCTGCCTTTTTGGGTTGTTGGAAGGATTAGATAAGATAATGCGTGTAAAAGCATGAACACTGTGCTGTTTTTAAAAAATACGTTTATTGGGAGTTACTATCCATTGTCTTTTACCCATTTTGGGTAATTATCGTGTTTCCTATTTAGTTTCACCATGCGGTTTATATTCAGCATATTAGGTGCTGAATAAATCCTAGTCAGTAGTATTATGCTGGACCAATAATCAGCAACAATTCAACAGACCAAGTGCCTCTCGAGCGCACAGCTCAGTGCAGATCTCCGAGAATACAAAGCTGCCTGAGACTAGGCCTTTGCTAAGAGAGAATGATCCACAGATTGCTATGGAGGCCAACCTGGTGTTCCAGGAAGGTCTGGAGTTGTGTGACTGTTGAGTGAGCCACAGGCAACCGGGCCAAGAAAGGTGGGAGGGGCCTTGGTGGAGAGGAACCGGCTGAGTGAAGGCACAGATCTCTGAATCCGCAACGAGTACACTGCGTGAGTAAACTGTAAGCCCGCACTGGAGTTGTAATACTTGTCGGACTAGTCATGTAACCTCTCAGAACCTGTTTCCTTATCCCTAAAAAGAAAGTAGTAGTAGTGATGTCCACCTACCAGTATGATGTGATTCAATGAGATAATATTTGTAAAGTCTTGCTTGGGAAGTTAATTGGTGTAGAATAAGTGTTCAATAAATGGTCGCCACCATTACCACTGTTTTTTTTTTTTAATAATTTTATTTATTTATTTTTCCCCCAAAGCCCCAGTAGATAGTTGTATGTCATAGCTGCACATCCTTCTAGTTGCTGTATGTGGGACATGGCCTCAGCATGGCGCACCACCCGGGCCGCCAGTATCAGAGCACACGCACTTAACTGCTAAGCCAGCCACGGGGCCAGCCCACCACTATGTTTTAATATTACCTTATAATTATGAACCGTGTCATTCCAAAAATAATTCATTTCCTGGTCATTGGACTGCGAAGGAGGGTGCCCAGGATTCATAAACCACAGTTTCCATCTTGAAGAGCTTTAAGACAGAGGCCAGCGCCGGCTTCACAATCCCGGTGAAGCGCCAGCGGCACGGTCCCACGTCCGCGGGGTGGCACGGGACGACCCGCGAGGAGCCGCGCTCCCAGGGTCACGTGGGCCACGGCCCCGCCCAGGCCGAGCCCGTCCCTCGCGGCTGCGGCAGCGGCGGCTGCGCCTGCGCGGAGCCAGGCGCGCTCTGCGGGGCGGTTCGCAGTGGAGGTGGCGCGAACGGCAAGGGGGCGGCTGATGGCTCTCCGGGGACTGGCAGGCTCGGGACTCAGCTCCCGCGGGCCGTTGGATGAGGCGGAGGCGGGGGCCGAGGGGCATGAGGCGCCGGCCGTGGTGGCGGCGGGAGTCGTGCTGCAGGACGATGAAGAGGACGAGGGCCGCGGCCGGGGCCTGCTGCGCTGGGACGGCTTCTCGGCCTGGCTGCACTGCGTGTGTGTGGTGGGCTTCGACCTGGAGCTGGGCCAAGCCGTGGAGGTGAGGCCCGGCTGCACCTTGCCCCCGCGCCCCGTCCGAGTCCCCGCGCCGCGGCGGCTCCAGCAGAGCGCGTGGCCCGCGGGCCAGTCGGCCGGCCGGCCGGACCCGGCCGCTGCGCATCCGGGCGTGGCCTGCCGCCCCTCCGCCGGGCAGGGCCGGGCTGCGGTCCATTGGCAGTTACCGTGGGAGGACTGTGGGCTGCGGCTGAGGGTGAAAAGTTCTCTCTAGGCCCCTCCTAAATACTTGTTGATATTCTTTTTTTTTTAAACCTAGTGTCGTAGGCATAACAAAAATAGCGGTACCCGGAGAAGGATGGAGGCAGGATGTTTGGGACTTTTTCAAGTAGCGAACAATGCCTCTGACATACGGTGAACTCGAACAGCCAAAACTCAAGCAACCAACTTTTTAGACTCAGATTGTTTGGGTTATTCGCAGTAACTCTTAGAGCGTTCCACTGCGCCTGAGCCGAAATGCGTATCTCAGCAGGCATTTTCTCCTTTTGTTCCTCATTTCTGTTATTTCTTGATGTTGCTTTTGAAACAGTTGGCCTGAAAGCTGATATCAAGATAGCTTACTTGTGAATCTGTCAAGTTTTCCATCTTTATGAGGCCTTATTGAAAGGCCTTCGAATCTTAGCTAGTCTCGACGTTGTTTAGGATCCCTTTTGTATTAAAAGATTGCTGTGTCTTTTGTGTATCCAAGAAAAACATTATCAGAAGGAAGTATGTTCAGAAGATTTTGTTTGTTTTGGTGGCAATGACATATTTTAATTAACCATCTCCTGGCTTTAGTGGTATGAGTTGCCTACGAAAATTGGCGGGGGAGGTTTTTCTTAATGCGAAGTTAACTGCTTTCCTATTCAACCTGTCTTCTGTGTTTTGTCGTTACATGGTTCGATACACATTAAGTTTCCACTAAGATCTAGGCATTATGCTGGTTGCTGGGCATACGAATATGAACAATATGCTCTAACCTATATTTATAGATTGAGATTACAATTTAGAGGAGGACCAAGAATTAATCACGGTATCAGATAGGGCCAAATGCAGTGCCTGGCACAAAGTGGTATTCAGTAAATCCTTGTTGATAGAAGGAGTGAACATGAACAATTCTTTATCTGACTGAGATAGAAACAACAGTTCCCAAAGACTTTGAAGAAGAGATTTATAAGACATTTATCATTTACATTGACATGTTAACCTGAAGTTATATGTATAGCAAAATACAATTTAACCAGAAATCGTAGGATTGGGTTGTTGTAGTTGATTGCATTTTTATTTTATTTTATTTATTTATTTTTTAAATAATTTTATTTATTTATTTACTTTTCCCCCAAAGCCCCAGTAGATAGTTGTATGTCATAGCTGCACATCCTTCTAGTTGCTGTATGTGGGACGGTGGCCTCAGCATGGCTGGAGAAGCGGTGCGTGGGTGCGTGCCCGGGATCTGAACCCTGGGCCGCCAGCAGCGGAGCGCGCGCACGTAACCGCTAAGCCACCGGGACCGGCCCTGATTGCATTTTTAAATAGCAAAAGGAGATCCTTTTGGGCTGTCATCATTTGGGGCATTCTTTTTTTTTTTTTTTTTGTGAGGAAGATTAGCCCTGAGCTAACATCTGTCACCAGTCCTCCTCTTTTTGCTGAGGAATATTGGCCCTGGGCTAACATCCGTGCCCATCTTCCTCCACTTTATACAGGACGCCACCACATTGTAGCTTGACAAGTGGTGGGTCAGTGCGCACCGTGGATCTGAACCCTGGGCTGCAGCAGTGGAGCGCGTGCTTTTAACTGCTATGCCACTGTGCCAGTGGGGCATTCTTTATAACATGAGTGTGTTTTTCTTACCAGATAAAAACCGCTTAGCATAATTGAAGTGCAACAAAATGTGAATCATTAAAGGACTTATTTTGAATTTCATTTCTCATAGTACATGCTACTGTATGGAGTTTTCTTCAGGTCAGTTGCATCCGGGACCTTTTAAAAAATATGATGAACTCTGTGAACTCTCTCCATTAGGAAAATGCTTGTTAATACAAAATTATGTGTATGCTTCTGGGGGTCATCTATGGAGCTTGTCCCCAGATTAAGAATCACTGATTTTAGAAGGTGTAGGATAAGGATGGGGAAGATTCCCTAATAATGGATCCCAGGAAAGATAAACACATTGTGAGATGCAACACAACTTAATTTTGTTTTGTTTTCCTGGGAACTTTAGAATATTACACCTTGCCACTTTTAAAATGAAGAAAAAGGAACACAAATTAGTAATTAATATAACATAATATCTGAAAAATATATTTCACTTCTGTATTACAGCCATATCCAGGCCAAAAATGGACAGGAGGGGTGACTAATAGGACAAGAAGGTGAGTGTAGAATTGTGTTGGAGAAGCGACATATAGTAGCCCCAGCCCTACTTCCTATAATGTACAAGCATGAGGACTCAAAAGGGAAATTAATTAAAAAATAGGTAAAAACTAAGTTTGGACAGTAATATCCTAGAATCCACCTGTGTTTTCAAAAAGGCAGTCATTGCAATCTTATACTTGAGAGAGACTTAAGAGTCTATTCTGCCGTGGCAGAAAGTACTATTTGCAGATTTTAAACAAATGCATAAACAGTGCCACTTATTTAAGCTTAAATCCCTATTATCGAGACAGTATAGAATATTGATCAAGAACTCAGACTCTAGAGCTGGACTGCCTAGGTTTGAATCTGTATGACTTTGGGCATGTAACTTAGCTTGTCTGAGCCTCACACTCCTCCTCTGTAACAGGATAACAGTATCTATATCATGGCGTTGTTGTGAGAGGTTAGATAAGTTAATATTGGTGAAGCATTTGGAACGGTGCCTGGGATAGTAAGACCTATGTAAGTGTATTTGGGAATCATTGAAATTCTCTCTTTTATTTTCCATGGCGAGAACCTCTGACTTTTGCTTTGTGAAGGTGAGGCCTTTGGATCTTAGTTTTCTCACTAGAAAATGAAGTTGAGGTGCTAGAATCTACTTTGTTTTTAAGTAGGGGAACTTTTTTCCCTGTGTAAATAAAAATCTAATGTCCCTCAATGGCTAATCTGGTTGAATTGGGGCCTGTGGCTGTATATTTGGTTGTAGACAACAGAAACCAGGCTAGAGCTCAAGCAGAAAAGGGAACTTGCTCTAAGGGCACAGAGGTGTTTCAAGATATCCAAGGTACAAACCTAGTGGGGCTTCAGAAAATGGCTGGAGCCCAGAACTGGGGAAGCCTCTTGTTGATGCTCTTGTTTTATGGATTTTGTTCATGCTTCATGCTCCCTGCAAACTGACTTTGTCTGCTTCTGTGATCTTTATGGTGGAAAAATTGACAGTGAATTTCACTCTCATTCCAAACACTCAGGCCTGGTTTGGGACAGATTCTCAGTCATACAATTAGCTGAAGACCTGGGTGCTTGGGGGAGTGGTCCATGTTGCATAAAATGTATGTCAGGGGCTGTGTCCTAAGTGAAGGGGGTCTTTTGAGCTGGGAAGAGACTGCAAAAGGTGTTGACCATGGGAGATGGGCTCAGCTTTTTCATTTTCCCCTGAGAGGTGGCCCTGAAGCATCACCACAGAATCCAAGCATTCTCTGGAACAAGGTTTGAAATCCCCTGGATTTTATATACTCTCTGTCACTTCTAGCTCTGAAATTACCTGATTATATAGTAAAGCCTTAATTATCTGAATCCTGAATTGCCTCATTTATTCATTTTTTTTTCCTGATTGAGTAATAATATGCTCATTGTTGTAAACTTGGCAAGAAAAAATTATAAACACTAGAAAACATCGCTCATAGTTATACTCAGAGACAACTGCTATTAATATTTGGCATTTTTGTTAATGCTTTTTTTCTTTACATAATTTTGTATCTGTCAAGGATTAATTTAATTGTTAGGCACAGGAACCCTCTCAAATAAATTTAAGTAAAGAGAAAGTGATTGTAAGGGGTCTCTTGGAACCTTGTTGCAGGAAGCAGGGATCAACCTCATGGGATTTGGAAAGCCCAAGGCTTTTGCCTTTGTCCCTCTGGAGCTGTTTGGTCTTTTGTCTCTGCTTCTCTTTGCATGTATGTTCCATTCTCCATGCTGAGCTGGTTTCCTCTGCATGAGTCTCAGTTTCTGCTTCCCCATTTCACTTGACTTTGGGTTACCATGGTACTGATTTTAGCCAAACCCTACTTGTGTAGATTCTGGAACCAGGCTGGCTGAAGCTTATTTCAAATACTGGAGTATCTGATCGGCTCATCATGGGTCAGGCACTCCCTTTTGTTCATTCAGCTGTGGTCAGGAGACAGGGTTTCAGTAACAGTAGTGGCTGTTAGGCTCACCCCTATAAAAAAAGGAGAGGACACTTGCAAAGCACGGACTGGGCAGCAGTCCCCCAAACAGGTCTACTGTAAGAGTCTGCTTTTATTGATAAACATTCTCATAAACAATTTGCCAGACCATTAAAGACTTGAAAAACATAATTTTATTGACCATAATTTATTTAACCATTTTCCTTAACTTGGATATTTAATAGTTTCCTTTTTTTTCCCTTGCCGGTGTAGAGAGTTATTTGATGCCTGTACACACGTCTTAGAGATGTTCTGCATTTTTGAGGGCCTTTAAATTATGTGAACTCATAGAACATCATAGGAGGTTGACATTTCTATAATTTGAAATGAACCTCCTGAACCTCTGTGGTCCCCAGTTTTATAAGAATTGAGGCATCATTGGTGGTTTTGCCCCTGTTGAAGGCTGTGACCTATCAACTTTTTGGGCAGAATTTCAGTCTGTGAAAAGAGCACAAGCTTTGGGGTTTTGAACATCTGCTAATTGTCTTATTCGGGGCTACTTGCTTCTGTTCTCTGAGTCTCATTTTCCTCAACTATAAAATGGGAAAATAATATCCTGAGAGTGTTGTTGGAGGTTCTAAGTGAGATAATGCATGTCAGAATTAATGCCTGTCATTTAATGTATGGCCAATACATTAGTCCCTTTTTA